ATCCCCCCTTAGTTATGCTGCAATAGGCTTAGGCTGCTGGGGGCGTCTTATATAACACTTCTTCTTCACTCACCTTTTTTTAGAGGTGATATATAAATCAAACTGACTTGATATGAACTGAAATAATACAGTATACATATTGATATGAATTGTCTATGCAGAATCCCCGAGAGGTCGGAAAAGTTATTGTTAAGCATTAACCTCTGTAATTGTCAAATCACTGGCAGCCCATGTAGGGTTAGAGTTTAGACGGTTAGACTCCACCCATGTTTGGAGCACCCAAATGAAAAAACTTGTGTATGAGACTTCCTATGAAAGGTCACATCTCCTAGTTTCTGAAAACGTGTCTATTTCACAGATGGCTGCAACAAACAACAATCAATCCAACACTAATCCTAACAAGTTTCCAGTGACCTGGTGAATGTTAAGATGTTAATCCATATTAAAAAGTCAGGTAAAACTGCTATCATTGCACTTATGAATTGTGATTTTTCACTGTGTTGTTCATCAAAGTGACAAGCTGTAGTCAATAGGGTTGTAGTGACTTGAAATGTTTTTAAAAAGCTGATAACGGAGATTCACATAGAAACCCCAGAAGTTTTTCTAAATACACATAAAATCTTCCAAATCCCAAATTACATTGCAGAATACAATTTAAATGTGAGCAAGGTGAGATTTGACCCCCAGGCTTTGAGTTCTACACATAAGGTATGTTGTATATATCTCATTTTGGTGCACTGAGAGGTTTTACTGCTGGCATTCATGGGTTTAACATGTGTATAAACAAGAGATTTCAAAACAGCATTGCGGTTTTACAGGGAGTTACAAGTTTACTGCAACTTCTTGAAGTCTCATTGTGAGGTTGCCACAGAGGAGGTGCTCTAGGGAAACATTGTACACTGATTTAAATAGTACCAGTGCACAGTTACTTCCCTAAAACCAACTGTTGCTACATTTGTGCATGTGTAAAGATGAAACAAATGTGTAGAGATGTCTTCAAGTGTTCATTTTACGTTGGAGAGAGTTGGGCTACCTGCTCTTCCTCGTTCCAGTCTTCATGCTACATAACCTCACCCTCCTAACTAAATGCCAAACCCTTACTAGTTTGTCTTTGCTTTTCAAAATGTCCTGGCTCCCGTAGCCTAAAACCTCAGCTTGGTCCTCACACAGATAGCTGTGCAAGTACAAACACACTCACACAGAAGAGCTCAGATGAAGGAGAGCTAGAGGGAGGAGGGGTGAGTTGTTATTCTGGAAGCATGAGCTCAAGCTTCTTCTCTTTAGCCTATGGTGAATGTGTCACAGGACTGACAATCCTCTCAAACTCACAGACAATCTTCTCAAACTCACAGAGAAAAACGCAGACACAAAGTTGTCCCAGTCATTTCAGGCTGTTGATGTTAATTTCTTTGAGTCTAACCACCTTAAGTGAGATATTCAGTTAAAACTAATGATTCATTTTGGGGGCATGTGGTTTTTTTTGTTCCCAGCGTGAGTAAGACAAACACACAGATTGAACTGAGAGAGTAAGATCAACGTTGGGTAGACAGGAAGAGAAGAGAGCTTCTGTGGTAGTGAGAATAATTGGTGCTGATTGGCTGGTTGCTGTGCTTCTGTGTTGTTATTTCATCCATTTTCTAAATGAACCCTGGTATGTGGATGTGGCTTGTTTCAGCAGATAAAGGACACAGCACCCCCTGCTGGTTGGACCTTTAATGATTTTCATGAGCTTCATGAAGATCTTATAACAACACACAGCTTCTGTCTGAAGAGCAGAGTTTCTAAAATTATTTTAAGATAATAATACTGTGATCAGTGAAGAGTGGTAGAGATACAAGCTGAACATCCTAGCTGGGAAATCAAAACTTCTTCTCCAAAGAAAAAAGTCCAGAATAACATCGGCAAAATTAAATATGACAAAAGATTCAAAAAACTGGTTGATGCTCATATCTGCTTTTCAAGTCACACGTCTGACTTAGAGTCCCTGGTCAGGAACTACAGGTCCACAATCTCCACAATCAAGCCCGACAAGTCCACAATGCAGTTAAGCAAACAAGTTCAGAACAAGTCTAAATGCTCCAAAATCACAGGTCAGAGTCAAATTGCAGTTATGAGGTTATTAATTCTAATTTAAGGCAAAATCCAAATTCAGGACCATACTTATGTCTCACAGAGTCCTAAATGGCCATATATCAGAGTGGAACACAGGGGTGTAGCTAGGAGTCAGTGATGTCGAGCTGTTAGTTTATTTTAAGTATTTAGTGTTTAAAAATAAGCACGTTGTGCTCATATGCACTCAAGAGGATGCACAACGAAGTAACACACATACTAAAAAAATAACCCCAAATCACACATTTTAGTAGTTAAATCCAGTTAATATTTACAAAAAGTCACCAGAGACATCCCAACTGGGTTGCTGTTGTAGGTATTCGTGATGTGTTGGCTTAATTTCTTCAATTAATAGCAAAGAAAACGTGACCCAGTCACGTTTAATTTGCTTTAGGCTTGCGGACAGCGTAATAAAGATGCTGCAGCAGCTAAGAGGACAGAAACAGTTCATACTAAAACATGCAAAATCAGAGATTTTGCAAGCGCTTATCACATTCCGCATGTAAAGTATATAATAAACATACGGTAACTCTGAGACCTGCGCGTAGTGACAATGCGCAGCTAATGTCCAGCTGTGATGAAAGGGTGTCACGTCCCAGCTGACGAGCACAACAACAACAAAAGCACCAACGAGCATTTAGCAACACGTCTGGCACGTACTACATGCGCGTGCTCACAGAGTACAACACGCACATGGAAGTGAAAAAGAAGCCTGTCATTAGCTGACTGGTGCTGGCGGAGCCGCCCACTTTCACGTCCTCACACAATCATGCCGTTTGACGGCCAACGAGAGCTCGCGCTCAGTGTGGACGGAAGGAGCTCCACGCTGCTATATGGCAAGCCATTAGCGCCAAATATCGCCCCTTTTCTAACCCGTTTAATTATTCAAAACGCCGAAAAAAACGGCGTTTGTCCCGACAGAACTCACATGGCGCCTTGAACGCACCATCTGAGTGGCAGAAAAAATTGCGTTTTTATTTGTCTATGAACGCCGCTTTTTACGTCACTCGGCAGAAAACACAGTTCAAAGATGCATAAAAACAGCGTTTTTAACGGCGTTCTGTGTCAGCTGTAACAGCGTTTAAAACTGTGTTTTATTGAAATTATGCAGGGCACTCCCCATGGTTCCCTTATCCAATTTCTTTTAACTCATTTCACCCAATCAAAGAAGAAGTGCAGACCACGCTAATTCATCACAGATTCACCTTTCTGCTAAGTGATTGCCTATTCGGTCCCAGTGCTTGTTACCCACTATGCATTTTGATATGTTTAAAGCATGATCAAACAAGCAAACGACGGAATGCTTTTTCTGAAACAAGACCTTAACTGTGTGGCGCATGGCTCCCTTGGTTACTTGAGGGATCAGCTATTAGCGCTGCGCTACCGCCGTGTAGCATTATGATGCTAACGGAGTCCTGGCTAACACCGCAAACTCCGGACATGAGTGTGGAGCTGCCCGGTTTCCAGCTGCTGCAGGCGGACAGGACGAGAAACAGCAGTGAGAGGAAAGGAGGGGGACTGGCAGTGTTTGTGA